GCTACGTTGCTTTACCCACAAATTGTTTGATCTCTTTTCACAAATCTGCCTCATTCTACACCACTAAATCAACCACACAAAGCACAGCACACAGAGATTTATTTTAATTTCATTGGTTTTCTCATCACCATGTTCCTGTAGAGGACTGATCACTTGCCAAGAGCTCCACCCAGTTCCCTGTCACCACCACCACCACCACCATCCTCAACACCACCACCACCACCACCATCATAGGGAAGTCCACTGCCTGTAGGACATGAAGTGCTCACGGGGAGTCGTCCTGTGAGGAGGGGCTGGTGGCGTCTTCTCTATGTTCAGAGCTAAGTCCATCTTTCTCCTGTCTTCAGCTCTTTAGTTTTCCTGAGCTCCTCACTCTTGACCTGCACAGCCCTCTCTGTTTCCACCCAATGTGCTTTTAGTCCCATTCCCTATACACTCTAGTTTCCCTCATCCCTTATTTCAGACTGCAGTTGTATCTTCTCTTTGACCCACTATCTGTATTAACCTTGTGCTCAGCCACAAAACGCAAACTCCTCAGTGATCTGTTTCATGGACTTGAGCTCACTCTCTTTCCTCCTCTAATGAAATGCCCCTACTGTCCCCCACCTCTGTACAGGTTAACTGTCCTGACCACTGCAAAGCTGGAGGGGGGTAGTCACTGAGGCGAGTCTGAGCACACAGTCTTGTGGAATTCAACGAGTTCCTCCAACTTGTCATTAAGCTCCTGAGCCACCTGCCTCAGCACTTCAGCCAACCCTGACTTTGCTCCCTCACACAAATGCATTGAGCTTTTTACAATGCTATAAACATCCAGTGCTAGGAAGGCAGCTCCAAACACTGCGCCTCTGACCCGGGCTCCTCTGGTCATTGACACAGCAGTGCCTTCAAAGGCACGCCGTATCTGACCAGCTTGTTGGGCAGGGACTCTTCCAGTCGCAATCATTCTGGCTGCCTTGATAGCACGAACATGCTGCCCAAGTTGTTTCAGTGTTTTGATGATGTCTTTGGATGTTCTATGAGCCTTTCCTGAAACCCTAAACAGAAACACTGAAACCTCCTTCGTTATGTCTCTGGCAGTTGAAACCAGGCGCCTGGCTTCATCTTCATCTGACCTCCTTCTTGTTTCTTCCACCACCATAGAGGTAAAATCAGTTGCAGTAGTTACTGCACCCAGCCCTAATCCAGCTAATGAGAGCACCAGACTGCTCCCCACTGTGAAGGGTGCCAGAACTAGACCCAGGAGGCCCAGGATTCCAGAGGTAGCACTGGTGGAATCAGTCACCACATTGGCGATGGTAAAGTTCTTGTGCTCCTCATCCATGTGGTCAGCCAGGCTGTGGAGCTTCTCGATGTGCTCCTCAAGCTTCCTTTTCAACTCAGGAAATGCTTCCAGAAAATTCATTACCTGTGTTTCTTCATGAAGGTTGTCCTTGTCGTTCATGGCCATGTGTGATACATCTTTCTCCAGAGCAGTATGGAGTGCAGCTTCCTCCTCACTGTAACAGCAGAGGTCAAGTGCAAGAGTTTCACATGTGAACACACCAAGGATACATACAAAAGACACAGGTGCTTTTGAGACCCAGCTATAGTCGTTACTACTGTGACTGACCAGACAAGATAATAGAGGACATGTTTTCCTCTGTGATGGGGACATGGAGTCTCTTCGGACTCTTAAATTATGCAAATCATCATCCAACCACACTGGCTTTGAAGCTGTCTCTAAACCACATGCCCTTTCCATTTTCTGAGACCTTGTGCTGGATAGCTTTCGTGTCAACTTGACA